CCAGGCGTGGGGACGCTGTGAGTTCTCCCTTTGTTTACACAAAGGCTATTCACATACATGGACACCATGTCAGACACATCGCAATACACATCGACCGAACTACAATGTAAAGCTTGCATATTATTACCCATACATGTACCTAAAAATCATAACAAACTGATCAGGTCACGTTAGTTCAAACTCCTTTAGTCAAGCGTTTGATTACATCATGGTAATGAACCTCACGGATAAACTATTATTTCCAAAATAAAAATTCAGATTTAGACCGGAGTGTAGATTTAGGTCATTTTGACCGAGTAGGTTATACATGTATAACCCCAGCGTCGGGGCGCCCTACGCTCAAATGTGCTTTGTCGTATGGACGACATCACGATAAATCAAGCCAAGGACGCATAGGTTCAAATGTTGTATTAACAATCCTTGATCATTCTATATCTAATTTGCTTAGATTAAAGTACTGGCAACTTTGGTTCAAGTAATTATCACCTGAAACATGAATACACGCAGTACCTAATTACCCCTTATTGTTAGCCGCTCCCCAACACACGCCAAGTGTGCGGGGCGTAAATTTCCGTGCACGTGCACGGCGAGCACGAATCCGGGAGTGTAAGGAAATATCCGGGGCCGTACATGCGGAGCCCGGAAATCCTTGGACGCGACCAGGACACGGCGAATTTCACGGGCGTGTGCGGGACTGGAAACTCTTGGAAACGTGGTTTTTCATACAGTGCTAGGAAACGTCTTACCACACTCGCCACACTTGTGTGTACTGGAAGAATCCTGCTTTCCACGTCTGCTCCCCCCGTCCTCTATTCTCAGACTGAATTTAGCTGTCGCCATGTTGGTCAAACCTAAAGGAATAATGTACAATTACACATTAGATATTTTCCATTAAGAAAATTAACGTATAAATGTTTGTGCAAAAAGCCTGAAAAATTGTGATCCTGATTAGGCCAGTTTAGCAAACTCGCTGGGGTATGGAAAGTAGATCTAAAATGTACACATAGGCAGATCTACAATCTAGCCTACAAAAAAAAGTGCAACATGGCAGTAGTCATAGTTAAATACTAGTAAGATAATACAGGAAAACAAATTCATAGCACTTACCAAGATGCACTGACGCTCCAAAGTACTGCACGATGTTTTCACGACGGCACAGATCCTCACGGCTGCAGAGTCAGTACTGACAGAAACAGAGCAGTCAGGGACGCGTTTATATAGGGACTGAGTGGGTGGATAAAACCGGTCCGTTGGGTTTTACTTGATTACGGAACAAAGAAAAACACCGTGCTGATTTGCATAGGGAAGAATCAGACAACATCATTCGTACTTAAAAAGAGACCGAGTACAATCACCGTGCTGATTTGCATATGGAATCAGACAGCATCATTTGTAGTAAAAAGACAAGTTACAATTATCATGTTACATGCGCTGATTTTCATAGGGGCAAATTAGACAACATCCTTAGGAAAAAGATCATTAAAGAAGATAGGTAGACACAACATTACGTGTTTTTACTTATTGGCGAAGCAAAGAAGCAGGAAGTTAACAAATCTTTAACACCTACAGCTACTTACAGGACACAACAAACAACATTTGACAAACAAAACTCCAAATTTTGGAATCTTGGATCTAGTATACTGTGGTTAGTTAAATGCAAATGCCAAGAAAACAAGTTAACTAAGTTTATTGTTAAAATTTTGTAATATGTGCAGATTTGCATAGGGACAAATAAGACAACATCCTTAGGAAAAATGGCAACAAAGAAGACAGCACATTACGTGTTTTAATTTATTGTCAAAACTGAGATGCAGAAAGATGACGAATCTCTAACACCTACAGCTACTTACAGAACACTCAAAAACAAACAATATTTAACAAACAACACTCTAGTGTATCCAGAACTAACATACATGCTTCTAACTAACTCTAAATTTTACATTCTAACAATCAAGCATACTGCGGTTACATAAAAGCAAATCAAAGAAAATTAGTATTATCTGGAAAGTGGACTATAAGTGCTAAGATAACAGACGAACCATGTGCCTTGATGTCAAGCGAACGGTCTCTTACCGTGTAACTCTATCATTATTCACTAGTCCACAGTCGCATTTTACACACGACTTCTAGTTTTAATTAACGGGCTACGGAGCATGCATTGGTAATTCAACAATGGAGACATGTGTACTACTAAAAAAAAAACAGTAAATAAGAGGTCACGTTGCTAAAAGAGATCTACAAATCTCGCTACTGACATAAATGATACCACATAATACTAGTGGTAATCTGGCTGAAACGTCTGACCATTTCCAAAATCATCGGCGTGTCGTATTAACTGTACAATTTGTACGGTTTCTCACATGTGTAAATCCGCACGTGCTCCTTCAGATGACCCAGCTCGCTAAATTGCTTACTGCACTCTTCACATCTGTACGGTTTCTCGCCCGTGTGGGTCCGCATGTGTCTCTTCAGTTTACCCAGCTCACTGAATTGCTTGCTGCACTCTTTACACATGTACGGTTTCTCACCAGTGTGAGTTCGAATGTGCCTCTTTAGATCACCTAGCCCAAGAAAACACCTTCCACATTCCTAACATCTGTACGGTCTGTCACCTGTATGAATGCGCATGTGTTTTTTCAGACTACCCAGCTCACTAAACTGATTGCCGCACTCGTCACACCTGTAGGGTTTTTCACCAGTGTGAGTCCGTATGTGTGTCTTTAGATGAGACAGCTGACTGAACTGCTTACCGCACTCCTCACACCTGTAGGGTTTCTCGCCGGTGTGAGTTTTCATGTGATCATCCAGATGACTCAGCTGGTTGAACCGCCTACCGCACTCCCCGCATTTGTATGGTCTCTCTCCAGTGTGAATCCGCATATGCCTCTTCAGATTTCCCAGCAGACTGAAAAGTCTGTCACACTCTTCACATCTGTACGGTTTCTCACCAGTGTGAATCCGCATGTGTCCCTTGAGGTGATTCAGCTCGCTGAACTGTCTGCCACACACCTCACACCCGTAGGGTTTCTCACCTGTGTGGATTCTCATATGCGATCTAGGTGAGCCAGCGCACTGAAGCACCTAGTACATTCTCCACATTGATATGGTTTCTCTCCCGTGTGTGTCCGCATGTGGTCCATTAGAGAACTCAGTCGACTGAACTGCTTGCTGCATTCCTCACACCTGTACGGTTTCTCACCTGTGTGAATTCGCATGTGTCTCTTCATATTATTCAGCAGACTGAAGCCTTTGTTACATTCCTCACATCGATAAGGTTTCTCACCTGTGTGAGTAAGCATGTGTCGCTTCAATTTGCTCCGTTTAGGAAACTCCTTGGCACACTCTCTGCACTTGTGGGTACGCGGAGAATCCTGCTCTTCACGCCTATTCTCTCCCTCCTCTTGTTTCAGGTAACAATTAGCTCCGGTCGCCATGTTGGTCAAACTCGTAATCCTGCAGGAACATTGTATAAGCTTAACAGTCTAAAAGTACATGGTTTAGAATTTTAACTGGACGGATGTAGTACATGTACTTGACTAAAATCTTTACCCTTAAAACGGACACTCATCATCATCAAAAGTAAGTCGAGTTGTAGACACACATTGGTCTTCGCTCATCTACAATGTACTGATACCTGCAACAAAGTGCAACGTGGCCTTGGTCATACATAGAAAAATATAGGAAAACAAAATCACAGTCCGCATTACCAAGATGCACTGACGCTCCAAAGTACTGCACGATGTTTTCACGACGGCACAGATCCTCACGGCTGCAGAGTCAGTACTGACAGAAACAGAGCAGTCAGGGACGCGTTTATATAGGGGCTGGGTAGGTGGATAAAACCGGTCCGGTGGGTTTTACTTGAGTACGAAACAAAGGAAAGTATTTTGTTACATGTGCCGATTTGCATAAGGGAAATCAGACAACGTCATTAGATAAAGATACAATCAGTTAGACAATAACGATAAAGACAACAACATGCATATTTTGTGTTTTATTTTATTGTTGAAACTGAGATCAAAGAGACGATTGTCTGCATACAATGGGGGCTGTTTCGTGTCGGCAAACTGTTAAATCTTATGCAATGTAAGGTCCATAAATGGCCATTTTAGTAGTTTGAAAATGTATCAAACTCCTAGCTTTAAAGCTGTTAGTAAATTCCTCAATCAAGACGACCAACCATGAAAACATGACGCGCTTTATTGTTGAAACTGAGATGCAAAAAGTTGACAAATCTCTAACTCTAAGCTACCTCTACCTTACAGAACTGCTGTAAAACAAACAAACAACGTTTTCGTGCATTAATTAGTAACATGTTCCAACTGTAACCAATTTTTCTTGATTACGACACAAAGGAAAGCACCATGCTGATTTGCATAGAGAAGAGTCAGACAATATCGTTCGTAGGAAAAAGAGACCGAGTTGGAGACTAACAAAAAGTTGGTACTCAATAAAAACGACAACATATTACGTGTTGCAATTTATTGTTAAATTTATCATACGTTACATTATCATATTACATACGTTGATTTGAATAGAGATAAATTAGACAAGATCCTTGGAGAAAAGATCAATAAAGAACACAACACATTACGTGCTTACAAATCTCTAAAACCTACAGCGCTAGCTACTTACAGGACACTTGAAAACAAACAATATTTAACAAACAACACTCAAGTGCATCTAGAACTAACATATATGCTGCTACCTAACTCTAAATTCAAAAGCAAATCAAAGAAAGTTAGTTCTTAGACGTCTAGTTCTAATCAACAGGCTAGGGACCACGCATTGGTAGTTTTACAATTTAGTCATGTCGAGAGTACACTACTGAAAGGAAGCAGTAAATAAGAGCTCAGGTAACATTGCTAAAAGTGATCTACAAACTGACTCACATCATGCTACACAATAATAACTAAGACAACCGCAGACAACTAATTGACAGACGTCAAACGAACGTTGAATCTCTGTCACTATTGTGTAAACACTTCACATTCGTATTTTACACTCTATTTGAAGTACTTCTAGATCTAATAAAGATTCTACGGAGCATACAACGATCGTGATCGTGGCATCAAGAAAAAGCTGTCTACAGGTTGTCGAAATACTGCACTCTCGCCTTTTTAGACACTACATTGTACTTCCAGTTTTAAACAGACTACTAGTAAAAGTATATATGCAGGACATGCGTCGATCGTGATGCAAAATCGTTGTTTTTGTTGCATTTTCACACGTGTTCGATTTCTCTTGTGTAAGTCCGCATGTGTCTCTTTAAACTTACCAGCTGAATAAACTTTCTGCTGCACACCTTGCATACGTACGGTTTCTCACCAGTGTGAGTCCGCATGTGTGTCTTTAGATTATACAGCAGACTAAACTGTCTGCCGCACTCCTCACACTTGTACGGCTTCTCACCAGTGTGTGTCCCCACGTGTCTCTTTAGATTACCCAGGTTACCGAACTGCTTGCTGCACTCCTCACACCTGTAGGGTTTCTCACCCGTATGAATCCTAATGTGTGTCTTTAGATTTGACAGCCAACTAAACTGCATGCCGCACACCTCACACTTGTACGGTTTCTCACCCGTGTGAGTTCTCATGTGGATTTTCAATTCATCCACCCTGCTGAACTGCATGCAACATTCCTCACACCTGTACGGTTTCTCACCAGTGTGAGTCCGCATGTGTGTCTTCAGACTGAACAAATAACTGAACTGTCTACCGCACTCCTCACGCGTGTACCGTTTTTCACCGTTGTGTGTTCTGATATGCCTCCTCAAGTGATCCAGTGTACTGAAGTAGCTGCTACATTCCTCACATTGATACGGTTTCTCACCTGTGTGTGTCCGCATATGTGTCTTTAGGTATGACATTGTACTAAACTGCCGCCTACATTACTCACACCCGTAAGGTTTCTCATCGGTGTGAGTCTGCATGTGTCCCTTCAGATGACACAGCCTGCTGAACTGTCTGCTGCACTCTTCACACCTGTACGGTTTCTCACCAGTGTGAATCCGCACGTGTCTCTTCAGAGTACTCAGCAGACTAAAGCCTTTCTTACATTCCTCACACCGGTAAGGTTTTTCGCTTGTATGAGTCCGCACGTGTCGCTTCAGATCACTCAGGTAACGAAACTCCTTGCCACACTCGCTGCACTTGCCACACTCGCTGCATCCTGCTCCCCACGCCTATTTTCTCCGTTCAAATGAGATGCATATCCAGTGGCCATGTTAAACTACAGATCCTGCAGAAGTGAAATTTCATTTAAATAAGTATATCAGCTTCAAAGGGGTCACGAAATTCATATTGTATATAACTTGCGTACTGACAAATGCACCTAAACATGTATCGGTTTTGGTTTATAGAAATTTATAGTTGGGTTTGTGTGGCGTTAAACCTGGTTTGGATCATCGAAAATGATAATGATTCAAAAAGGCAGATTAGCATGAATAGCCAAGAATGAAAAGTAAGTTCTTCGCCCGCCGATTTATAAAGTAATCTACAAATAGATGCCGCATGGAAGTTACAGATAAAGATAATACAGGAAAATTCGACGCTCACCAAGATGCACTGACGCTCCAAAGTACTGCACGATGTTTTCACGACGACACAGATCCTCACGGCTGCAGAGTCAGTACTGAGAGAAACAGAGCAGTCAGGGACGCGTTTATATAGGGACTGGGTGGGTGGATTAAACCGGTCCGGTAGGTTTTACTTGATTACGACTCAAAGGAAACCACCATGCTGATTTGCATAGTGAAGAATCAGACAATATCGTTCGTAGAAAATAGAGACCGAGTTGGAGACTTACAATAAAGTTGGTGATCAATAAAATATATTGTCCGAATTTATTGCTGAAATTATTATGTTACATGCGTTGATTTGCATATGGGAAAATTAGACAACATTCTTAGGAAAAATTCAATGAAGAAGACAGATTACTTTTTTTGATTCATTGGTGAGACTGAGATGCAGATAGTTGACAAATCTCTACTAGCTACATATGTATCTTACAGAAAACGAACAATAATTTGATGCCTTACTAAAGTAACATGCTGCAACTATATCTAAATCGCTAAGAGCTACAAGTGAATCTTACAAAACACATTGAAAACAAACAAATCTTACCAACATTTTAGGCATTTAGAACTAACATGTATGGTGCTAACTAATTCTAAATTCTATGGATCTTGCATACTGTGGTTAATTAAAAGCAAATAAGACGAAACTAGTTAACAAGGTGCATTAACAGACGGGCCATGCGCCTCGACGTCAACCAAACGGTCTTTTATCGTGTAACTCTGTTACAATTGTCTAAACACTCAACAATTACATTTTACGCACGAGTTCTATTTCTAGTCAACGGGCTACGGAGCATGGAATAGTAAGTGTACAATGGAGTCATACACTACTAGAAAACAGTAACTAAGAGGTACAGATTGCTAAAGGAGAATCTCGCTAACGACTCAAATGATACCACATAATAGTAATCTTTACATGGACACTAGAGGGTTTTCGCTAGTGTGAGATTCCATGTCTACTAGACATTCAGACTACTTAACTGCCAAAACCTTTTGCTACATTTTCCAGCAGTGTCGATACATTTGTAACCTGTATGAGTCTGTATGCATGTCCCTAAACTGCTTTCAGTGCTCCTCGCATCTGTTCGTCTTTCTCACGTTTGTGAGTGCGCATGTGTTGCCTCAGACCAGACATTCGAGCAAATTGTCTGCTGCACAGTTCGCATCTATACGGTTTCTCTCCTGTATGGATCCGTATGTGGTCTTTCAGATCAGTCAGCTGGCTAAACTGCTTGTTGCACTCTTCACATCTGTACGGTTTCTCACCTGTATGAGTCCGTATGTGTGCCTTTAGATTGCCTAGCACACTAAACTGCCTGCTGCACTCCTCACATTTGTAGGGTTTCTCGCCAGTGTGCGTCCGCATGTGCCTCTTTAGATCTGACAGTTGGCTAAACTGTTTGCCGCACTCCTCACACCTGTAAGGTTTTTCACCTGTGTGAGTCCGCATGTGTGTCTTCAGAGCTGACAACTTGGTAAACTGCTTGCTGCACTCCTCACATCCGTACGGTTTCTCACCTGTGTGACTTCTCGTGTGTTCCTTCAGATGATCCAGTCTGCTAAACTGCATGCCGCAATCCTCACACATGAACTGTTTTTCACCAGTGTGAGTCCGCATATGTCTCTTCAGACTACCCAGCCTGCTGAACTGCCTGCCACATTCCTCGCATCTGTAAGGTTTTTCACCTGTGTGAGTTTGCATATGTGTCTTCAGGTGACCCAGTTGATTGAACTGCATGTTGCACTCACCGCATCTGTAGGGTTTCTCACCGGTATGAGTCTGCATGTGTGTCTTTAGATTTCCTGGAACACTGAACTGCAAGCTGCACTCTTCACACCTGTAGGGTTTCTCGCCAGTGTGAGTTCGCATGTGCCTCTTAAAATGTGACAATCCGCTAAACTGTTTGCCGCACTCCTTACATCTGTAAGGCTTTCCACCAGTGTGGGTTTTGATATGCGTCCTCAGGTCACACAGTCTACGGAACCACCTGCTGCATTCCTCACATTGATACGGCTTCTCACCGGCGTGAGTCCGCATGTGTCGCTTCAGATGACTCAGCAGACTGAAGCTTTTGTTACATTTATCACATCGGTAAGGTTTATCGCTTGTGTGAGTCCGCACGTGTCTCTTCAGATCACTCGAGTAACGAAACTCCTTACCACACTCGTCACTCATGTGTGTACGCGGAGAATCCTGCTCTCGACACGCTTCCGCCATGGTGACCAAACCTATAGGCACAATGGAAAATTCAACATTATAGATTTCATTGTGATTAGAGAATAAATGGGCACCAAAGGTATCCCTGTTATGTTACAATAGGACAATATGTTCGATGGACAAAAATACGACAGAAGCTTGAACAGGAAAAATGAAAACGTACAACACCTGCAAGATAACAAAATCTTCTGAACCTGGTTTCATACTGATGCATTGACATCTCAACACGTATGGTTTAAAGTACTAATGATCCAAAAGGTCAATTTAGCTTACATTGTAGGACGATTTATGATAAAACCTACGAATAGATATCACATGGTAGTCATAGAAAATACAGGAAAACTCGACACTTGCGATGGAGAAAGTACATTAAAACAAAATTATAGTCAGCACTTACCAAGATGCACTGATGCTCCAAAGTACTGCACAATGTTTTCACGACGGCACAGATCCTCACGGCTGCAGAGTCAGTACTGTCAGAAACAGAACAGTCAGGGACGCGTTTATATAGGGACTGAGTTGGTGGATAAAACCGGTCCGGTGGGTTTTACTTGATTACGAAACAATGAAAGGACCATGCGGATTTGCATACGAAGAATCAGACAATATTCGTAGTAATTTATTGTTGAAATTATCATGTTACATGTGCTGATTTGCATGGGAGGTAATTAGACAACATTCTTAGGAAAACGTTTAATAAAGAGACAACACATTACGTTTTTTGATTTATTGACAAAACTGAGATGCAGATAGTTGACAAATCTCTAACAGCTACAGCTACAATATTTAACAAAAAACACTCTAGTGCATCTAGAACTAACACATATACTGCTAACTAACTCAAAATTCAAAAGCAAATCAAAGAAAATTAGTTTCATCTGGAAAGCGGGCTATAACAGACGGACCATGCGCCTTGATGTCAAACGAACGGTCTCTATGTCACTATTGTCTCTATGTCACTAACAGTCCACGACTTCTTAGAAAGTTAGTTCTTAGACGTCTAGTTCCAATCAACAGGCTACGGAGCATGCATTCGTAATTTTACAATGGTAAACTACTGAAAGAAAACAGAAAAAAAGGTCACGGTGCTAAAAGAGATCTACAAACCTTACTAGTGACTTAAATGATACCACATAATAGTAATCTTTACATCAGGAAACTGGAGGGTTAGTAGATGCTACCTGAAACGTTTGACCGTTTTCAAAATTGAAACTAGATGCTTGAAGTCAGAAACTGCTGGCAAAACATTTGGTGGTGAAGCTTTTGTTCACAAAGATTTTGTTACATTGTTTAGACTTGCGGTTTCTCACCAGCGTGAGTTCGCTCGCGTTTCATTAGTGTGACCTTGTAGTTAACTGCTTGCCGCACTCCGATCCTCACACCTGAACGGTTTCTCACCTGTGTGAGTCCGCATGTGTTGCTTCAAAGTACTCAGCCTGCTGAATTGCCTACTGCACTCCTCACATCGGTACGGTTTCTCTCCAGTGTGAGTTATCATGTGGTTCTTCAGATTACCAATGGCACTGAACTGCCTGCTGCACTCCTCACATCTGTGCGGTTTTTCACCTGTATGAATACGCATGTGGTTCTTCAGATTAGTCAGCTCACTGAACTGCCTGCTGCACTCCTCACACCTGTACGGTTTCTCACCGGTGTGGGTTCTGATATGAGACCTCAGTTGGACCAGCGTAACGAACCACTTGCTACATTCCTCGCACTGATACGGCTTCTCACCTGTGTGAGTCCGCATGTGTCGCTTCAGATGACTCAGCTGACTAAAGCTTTTGTTACGTTCCTCACATCGGTAAGGTTTCTCACCTCTGTGAATCCGCATATGCGTCTTAAGTTCACCCAGCCTACCAAACCACCTGCTACATTCCTCACATTGATACGGTTTCTCACAGGTGTGAGTCAGCATGTGTTTCTTCTGATTACTCAGCAGACTGAAGCCTTTGTTACATTCCTCACATCGGTACGGTTTCTCGCCCGTGTGAGTCCTCAAGTGCCTCTTCAGGTGACTCAGGTAACGAAACTTCTTGCCACATTCACCGCACTTGTGGGTAGGAAAATCCTTCTCTCCGCGCCCACTGTCTCCCTCCTCTTGTTTCAGGTGAGATTCAGCTCTGGTGGCCATGTTGGTCAAACGGTAACTCTGCAGGAACAGTGTATAAATATAACACGAATTGAGTCTAAAAGTACATTGTTTGGCATTTTAACTGGACGGATGTCCTACATGTACTTGACTAAAATATCTACTCTTAACAGATACTAAGCCGGTTTAACAAAAGTATCAAAAGGAGGTCGACATGTAGACACACATTGTTCTTCACACATCTACAATGTACTATTTGAGCTTCAACAAAGTGCCCCATGACTAAGAAAAAAAATAATGCAAGTACACATGTACTTACCAAGATGCACTGACGCTCCAAAGAAAAGTACTGCACGATGTTTTCACGACGACACAGATCCTCACGGCTGCAGAGTCAGTACTGACAGAAACAGAGCAGTCAGGGACGCGTTTGTAACAATAGCCTTTTTGCTCTATGTTAGCTTACCTAAACATTCAAGCAATCACGATTCGGATACTGGATTCTGCTTTCGGAGGAGTGTATTTATTCACAGTGTAACACAATAATAAACAACCACAGCATTGTAACGACAAGATATCCAACCTTTCTTCTACAGTCCTGACAACTAACAGAGCCTCAGTTACATTAACAATCGGACATTGCGTTGTGTACTTTTTTTATAGACAAATGACTAAGGACTTACTTGTTCAGTTGGAACGGACACAGGACACTCAGAAGTCACTCCGCCTAGACTCTCTCGTAATCCCTCACGACACACGACTGTGTCCTGCCTTTAAAGCTATCCTAATTATGCGCATAACCGACTCTGACCTTGATTCGTAGACAATACGACAGCCCACATATAGGCGTTAACTGGGTTTGTCTAGCCACTTCTTTGTGGTGCATATTAATACTGACAGACGGGCAAGATGTTTACAGAACTACAAAGCTGTTGATATACATAATGCATTTTGGCACATAATATATTTTGACACATTATTAGGCTGGCCACCAAGCGTTACACGTTTATATAGGGACTGAGGGGATGGATAAAACCGGTCCGGTGGGTTTTACTTGAGTACGAAACAAAGGAAAGTATTTTCATGTGCCGATTTGCATAAAGGATTTCCGACAACATCATTAGATAAAGATACACCCAGTTGGACAATAACAATAAAGACAACAACATGCATATTACGTGTTTTATTTTATTGTTGAAACTGAGATCAAAGGGACGATTGTCTGCATACAATGGGGGCTGTTGAGTGCCGGCAAACTGCCTAATATAATTCAATGAAAGGTCCATAAATGGCTATTATAGTAGTTTGAAAATATTTCAAACACCCCCTCCATCATCCAAGCTACCAGTAAATTCCACAATCCACACGGCCAGCCATGAACTGAATCAATGCTTTGAAGCTTTAACGTATCCAGCACACAGGCTGGCGTCTAAATGACGAAATTGGAGCGGTTTTGTCTGGATCGTCTTCCCAACAACGCCTACGGTTAAAGGCTGTTAGCTTAGAACTTCTCACTGCTAGCTGAAGCATCAGTAGGCGCCTCGTTTTCGTGCAAGATCACGTGATCACGCGCAGCGCCGGGACCGCTTTTCAAAATGGCCGCGGAGATTGGAATTACGTCTATTGCAGCTAAACAAATTATAGGTATACATATGTAAGAAGGGCAGAAAGGCACATACATTTGGTAAGCATGTTTTGAAACAGTATTTTGTTGGTCTTTCGGGAATTAGAGTTTAAGTGTTAGATGGCTTTGCGCTGAAGCCCTTCCATGATTATCACTTTACGGTTTGTTTTCAATGTAAAAAACCTTATTCACACTTTGATGCCTCTGATAGTTATTGTGTTATGTAAACCCACGCTTTTGATGATAGTGTGACAACTTCCTGTTACTTTGTTCATGTCAGTACGTCAAAGCTGGTTCCAGCAGGGAACAGGAGGCGGCCGCCTCGCACTGTTATATTATTATCTGTGAATAAAGGAAGGGGGTGCTCGCTGAGAGAAGAGAGGACAGTGGTGAGAGAGGGTCACAGATAGAAGTTCTCAGCGAGCCCCCCGTGTGTGTGTAAACTGGCCATGCCTGTGTCCTGTGTGTGTTCCTTAGTCCTGTAGTCAGTCTCTCTAGCAGCATCCCAAAGAACGCTGTTTCTGTCAGTACTGACTCTGCAGCCGTGAGGAGCTCGGCCGTGGAGAAAATATCGTAAAGTACGTCAGTGTACCTCAGTAAGTGTCGAATTGTCCAGTATTTTCTTTATCTATGACTGTGGTATTTATATGTAGGTTGTATTATGAATAGGCGACCGACGGACTTTGTTTCTACATTTCGACTTACTTTTCATTCTTGGCTAGTTAACCAGGACTGGGCGTTTGAATTCTTAGCATGCCGAACAACGAATTTGTAGTAATTTTGTTTCTTAAATATTAATTTTATTATTCATGTAGGTTTGATCAACATGGTGACATTTGAATTCTATCTGAAACAAGAGGAGAGAGAGACTGGGTGTGGAGAGCTGGATTCTTCGCGTACAGTTATAAACGCGTTGCTAAGTGCTGTTTGTTTGGTGTGTGCGTTCTTTAAGTTAGCTGTGAGATATTTGATAGCTTTCCATCTGTCGGTTTTAATTAACAATAGCAATTGTCCCGGCAAAACAGAACTGATGACGTTTTCCTCTAAAAGAAGAAAGGTTCTTCACCCACCATTATACTTTAGAGGTGTTCAGCTGACTGAAACTCTCTCTCACCAGCACCTTGGCTTACATCTCACTCCAAATTTATCATGGTCACTCCACGTGTCAACTCTGGTGACGGAAGCAATGAAACGAGTTAACTTGTTGACAAGAATATCAAATTTTGTTCCACGGAAAACGCTTTAAATGTTTGTACGCTTGTACAAAGCCATGATACGCCATTTACTTGAGTACGCCAACGTTGCCTGGTGTGTTGTTCTTAAGCAGCGTGTCCGCTGCCCGAGCTTGCACAGGCGCAATGAGAGGGACGAATCACCACCGCATTCTATGTAGTACATGTACCTGACTAAAATCTTTACCCTTAAAACGGACACTCATCATCATCAAAAGTAAGTCGAGTTGTAGACACACATTGGTCTTCGCTCATCTACAATGTACTGATACCTGCAACAAAGTGCAACGTGGCCTTGGTCATACATAGAAAAATATAGGAAAACAAAATCACAGTCCGCATTACCAAGATGCACTGACGCTCCAAAGTACTGCACGATGTTTTCACGACGGCACAGATCCTCACGGTGCAGAGTCAGTACTGACAGAAACAGAGCAGTCAGGGACGCGTTTATATAGGGGCTGGGTAGGTGGATAAAACCGGTCCGGTGGGTTTTACTTGAGTACGAAACAAAGGAAAGTATTTTGTTACATGTGCCGATTTGCATAAGGGAAATCAGACAACGTCATTAGATAAAGATACAATCAGTTAGACAATAACGATAAAGACAACAACATGCATATTTTGTGTTTTATTTTATTGTTGAAACTGAGATCAAAGAGACGATTGTCTGCATACAATGGGGGCTGTTTCGTGTCGGCAAACTGTTAAATCTTATGCAATGTAAGGTCCATAAATGGCCATTTTAGTAGTTTGAAAATGTATCAAACTCCTAGCTTTAAAGCTGTTAGTAAATTCCTCAATCAAGACGACCAACCATGAAAACATGACGCGCTTTATTGTTGAAACTGAGATGCAAAAAGTTGACAAATCTCTAACTCTAAGCTACCTCTACCTTACAGAACTGCTGTAAAACAAACAAACAACGTTTTCGTGCATTAATTAGTAACATGTTCCAACTGTAACCAATTTTTCTTGATTACGACACAAAGGAAAGCACCATGCTGATTTGCATAGAGAAGAGTCAGACAATATCGTTCGTAGGAAAAGAGACCGAGTTGGAGACTAACAAAAAGTTGGTACTCAATAAAAACGACAACATATTACGTGTTGCAATTTATTGTTAAATTTATCATACGTTACATTATCATATTACATACGTTGATTTGAATAGAGATAAATTAGACAAGATCCTTGGAGAAAAGATCAATAAAGAACACAACACATTACGTGCTTACAAATCTCTAAAACCTACAGCGCTAGCTACTTACAGGACACTTGAAAACAAACAATATTTAACAAACAACACTCAAGTGCATCTAGAACTAACATATATGCTGCTACCTAACTCTAAATTCAAAAGCAAATCAAAGAAAGTTAGTTCTTAGACGTCTAGTTCTAATCAACAGGCTAGGGACCACGCATTGGTAGTTTTACAATTTAGTCATGTCGAGAGTACACTACTGAAAGGAAGCAGTAAATAAGAGCTCAGGTAACATTGCTAAAAGTGATCTACAAACTGACTCACATCATGCTACACAATAATAACTAAGACAACCGCAGACAACTAATTGACAGACGTCAAACGAACGTTGAATCTCTGTCACTATTGTGTAAACACTTCACATTCGTATTTTACACTCTATTTGAAGTACTTCTCTTCTTCGTAAACTCCGAAGAGAACTAAGTTTCCTGTCTATTCACAAACTGGACAGACACAAGGGTAGGGTAGTCGTGCGCACGCCACGGTTGAGTGTTTATTTATATGGAACACGTGTAGCCGAACATAGGATAACGGGGTATAATATGAAGATGTCAAAAAGGTACAAGTGACCAGGCACTGGGTAAAGACGGTTCATATTAATGACAGTTTACATTATGTGGTCCGGGTGACGAACAATAAGGTAGATAAACAGTTTACATTATCGGTCCGGGTGGCGAACAATAAGGTAGATAAACAGTTTACATTATCGGTCCGGGTGACGACCAAAAGGAGATAAACAGTTAAATTATCTGGTCCGGGTGACAAACAATAAGGTAGGTTTACATTAACTGGTCCGGATGACGAACAATAAGGTCGATAACAGATTACATTATATGATCCGGGTGACGAACAACAAGGTAGGTAAACAGTTACATATCTGGTTCGGGTGACGAACAAGGTAGATAACAGTTATAGAACTCTAGGGCAAGGAAAACGGGCGACCGGGTTAGTGCGGCAGAGGGGTTGGGCGGGGGGGTACTCAACCGCTCACTATGAAGTGGCGACGACGAATGAGGATGAGTCGTAGGGTAGGTAGGGGGTAGGAAGTGAGGACCAATAGGAGAGGGTTACGGATGGGGGAACATCCGTCCAATTTGTGAGCCGACAGGAAACGTGATTTCTCTTCTTCGTAAACTCCGAAGAGAACTAAGTTTCCTGTCTATTCACAAACTGGACAGACACAAGGGTAGGGTAGTCGTGCGCACGCCACGAAAACAAAAGGATAGAAGAAGGCGGTGAA